TCAAAGGATCGAAAATGAACCAGCAGACATTTTTAAGTTGACAGAAAGTGAATTCTTGGCATGGACAGAAGCACAAAGATGTGTCTCGGAGGTGGAGAGCAGTCCAAGGGAGGAACCCCAAGCAGTGTTTCATTCATCGAATCTTTTTCGTTGTCAAGTGGATGGATCCTGGAATGATAGAGATGTCACCTCAGGGTTAGGTTGGGTTTGTTTCTAAGGTGACCATCCTGTTTTATTAGGGGCAAAAGGATTGAGATACAAGAGATCGCCGCTACATTCAGAAATCGAAACTCTGATTTGGGCGATGTATTGCCTGATGGAGAGTGGAATAGAATGTCATACTTTCGAAACTGATTGCTCTAACCTCGTGGATATAGTAAGGAATCTAGCAGAGTGGCCGACATTCTCCATTTTGTCAGACCAAGTCTGGAGCATCCAAGACCGTCTTCCGAGTTTCTCGTTATCATTTGTTCTTGTTCTAGTAATTTAAAGGCGGACTGTTTAGCCCGTTCTACACGTACTCTAGCTTTTGATTTTTCGTATGTAAGTAACTTGCCGCCAAATTGGATTTCCAATTCGGTTGGGATTTTTGCGTAATATGTAATTTGGTTGTAAAAAAAAAAATATTATATATTATGTATATATGTATTTAGATTAGTATACTATACAAATAACTTTATTATGATGTAGCTACATATTTAATCACACTTACAAATATCTATACATTTTATTATTAGAAAACATATATTATTTTTTGTTTGTTATATCCAATAAATTCATATAAATCTAAACTTTATCAGATTTATCGTCTTCACTATAATTTACACGAATAATAAAAATCAATTTTACACTTAAACATTTGCATATGTTTTGATTAACTTTACACATAAAAATATTTAAAATAATTGCATTAACATATGTTTGATCAAAAGTATTGAATTTTATTATATGTATGCACAATACATATCATTTTTGTATATTTATAGATATTATAAATTATATATTTTGTCATATGTTTAAATATAAAAAATTATATATATTAAAATCGATTAGTCAATCTATTTAATTATTTAATCTCGCGCTTGCCACGGGGTCAAAATCTAGTTACTTGGTAAAGCTACGTGGTTATAAAAAGTCACAACTTTGAGGCAAAGAAAAGGAAGCTTCTTCCATGA